TCAACTTCCCATACTGTGGGTCACGGGGCATTCGGCACTACCTCTGTGATATACCACCTCTGCTGAGCCTCGTGTGTGCAGACACCAGAGTCTTCGAGGCCAGTATTTTCGTGATCACTGTGGTATTCATGATTGTTCCTGTCTCTCTCATACTCCTGTCCTATACCAGGATTCTGATTGCTGTCCTCCGCATGCCATCAGCCTCTGGGCGCCACAAGGCCCTGTCCACCTGTGCCTCCCACCTCATCGTGGTAATTCTGTTTTATTGCACAACGGGGGTCATCCACTTGCGCCCCAAGGCCAGCTACTCTCCTGAGAGCAAACAAGTGGTGTCCCTGTCATACACCATGGTGACCCCTATGCTCAACCCCCTCATCTACAGCCTGCGGAACAAGGAGGTCAAGGCTGCCTTAGTTCGTGTCTTCATTCAGAGAAGAGGTACCTTTACCCCCTGACCTGCATATGACTTCATTTTCACAATTCCTTGGGGAGTGTTTTTGCCCTCGTGTTCTTGAGGGCCTCAGTGCACAAGTAACATAAACCCTTTCTAAAAGATTCTATTGCAGGGATGGTCCTGCTAGTTGTGTGGCTGGCGTGACAATTCTCTAACGGCTCCTTTGCCACAGGCCCATTTTCTTCTTGCTGTGTGTATTGCGTAGGTAGCATTCTGTTTGTCCACTGACATAACAGGTGGATTGGAATTCAAAAGCACGGTGACAACATCTTTCCCATGCAGGTACTCTTGTCAAGGAACAAGCAAGTTTCAGAAAGCAAACTTCAGATTTTAAAGTCCTATAAATCTCCCCGTTTAGGGTTTGTTGCGGTTTGAGTATGAATTTTGCCCCACATGCTCATGTGTTTCAACATGTTGTGTCCCAATGAGGAATGCAGTTTTAAAGTTAGGAGAACCTTGGTGGGTGGAGTCTGGCTGGAGGAAGTGAGTCACAGAGAGTGAACCTTGGTGTTTCACAGTGGAGTCCCACTTCCTGTTTGCTTCCTGACTGGTGAGGCAATGTTTCATAATCCAGCCACAGTGCTTCTCTGACCAGGGTATCTGAGCCCTCCAATGGTGAGCCAGTCAGCCATGAAGAACACTCATTACTCTTGCAGAAGGCCAGGGTTCGATTCTCAACACCCTCTCACGGAGCTCACTGCCTGCAACTCCAGTTCCAGGGGATCCGATGCCCTCCACGGTCACTGCACACACACGATGAACATGCAAGCTATCTGGCTCACAGAGATAAAATGGAAATATAATGAAAACAGCAAAAGTATGAGCCATAATAAGCTGTTCTTTATCAAGTTGCTTTTTGTCAGACACGGGACTTGGAGGCAAGAAAGGATATGAACATGTGGTATGAGGATATGCCATCTATGCCATTTCATGTTAAAATTTTCAAACATTGATGTTACCTTTATAATTTTATTTCTCAATAAAAATAAGACAATACCAGGCTCTGAAAGATTCAAATAAGCGCTGGTTATGCATTCCACATGAAGACACATCACATAAAGAGGCTGGGTGTAATGGCACACATCTTCACTCCCCGCTAACAGGAGGCAGAGGCAAGTGCAGCTCTGTAGTTTGAGGCCAGCCTGGTGTACAAATCAAGATATCAAGGTAAAAGCTGAAATATCAGAGAAGCAAAGGAGCAGCCACCATCACCCTTCACCTTCCCAAATCCTCTGACCAAAAGGGGCCAAGGTCCTGTCTACACAACACCTTATCACTTCCTGTCTCCATATCATGTAGTCACTTCCTGTCTCCTCTCTGTACAGACCTCCAGACATCTATGATTATGGTTAACTGGTGGTGAGCTCCACCCTCTGAACTCCAGGCAAGCTTTATTTATCAGAACACAAACAAAATTACCACGACACATAGCAGTTACTGAATACTGCCTGACGCCAGTTCCACATGCAGTGAATCTGACTTTCATTCAGAAACACACAGAGAAGCTAGGGTGTAGGTTGCCAGAGGCTGGGGATGGGAAGGGAATGTGAGAGTTCAGCAGATGAAGAGTCTCAGTTTTATAACATGAACAGTCTTGGGGATAAGCATTAGTATTGACTGGAAAACGATGTGAATATTTGATCCACTGAGTTATGTTTAACAGGGTTGCAATCACAGCCCAGTTGTAGAGTGCTTACTTTGACTCTTAGGTTCATTTCTGTTGTTGCAATAAAGCAATCTGTCAAAGACGAACTTTGGGGCACAGGGGTTATTTCTAGCTTACAATTGCAGGTTGTAGTCCTTAATTGTGGAGAAGTCAAGGCAGGCACCTCAAAGAGCTGGTCACATGACATCTAACATCAAGTGTAGAAAGACATGCTCACTTGTTTGCTGAAGTTCAGATTCTGTACAGTTCAGGACAACCTGCCTAGGGAGTTGACACCCTTCACAGTGTGTTGGCTCTTCCTGTGTATCTCTGGCATATTTTAAGACATTCTGCTACAGGCATGCCCACAGGAAACTCATGGAAACTCACCACAGGTGACTCTACCTTGCATCAAATTGACAAGTAGAGCTAACCATCTCTTATGTGACACTGTTCCTGGGGAGACAGGAGCAAATATCTACTCATCCCAGGCAAGGAACTAAGGACGGACCAATGTAAAGGCACCATTGAGTTTTATTGGGTGGCTGGGGGAGCAAAATGCCTCAAAGATAGAGTCTCTTAGAATATCTTCATTTCTTCTAGGCCAGTTACAAAAAGACGTTTGTTGCATTTCCCATGTATCTTCAGACTCAGAAAAATATTCACAAATGATGGTAGCAATGTGGAATCAAAGACTAGAGAAAGTGGTGATACAGGATTGAAAGGCACATGGAATTTTTCCAGCCTGTCTCTCTGAAGCTCTGTGCTTTGTGCCCACAGGTAAGCCTTTCCCAGAAAGAAGGAAGGAAGGGGTGTGTTTGCTTTTACTGGAGGTCCTCCTTTATGTTCATTCTGTCTGCACAGTAGAACTCTAACCAAGGGCTTCTCATACCAATACTTTATCTCAGTTTCCCTGGTATAGCTAGGAGCCATTGGGATCCAGAGAGGTGTGGCATGCCATGGTAAGACATGAAGATGGAAGGGTGGACATGAGAAATCTTTGGGAACATTACAAGGCATGGAGGGGAGTGTGGATTTTCTTGTCTGTAGATAGAGGCAAACACAACCCAGCAGGCCTGAGGGGAAAACCAGGAGGAGAGAATTCTGGTAAGGACCACAGTCTCTTGGGAAAGCAGGGGCTCCAGACTCTCTAGCTCTTTGTGTCTTCACCAGGGGCACAGAGACACATAATGAACACAACTCTCCAAGGGCAGAGAGAGTCTTCAGGGCTCTCATTTTCTGCTCAGAGCCAAAGACTGAAAGCATTGGTTTCTGGCATCCCAGTCAGCCCCAGGGACTCCTTGATCAAGAGCGTAGCTCTGTCAGAACTTAGCTACAGACAGACAGAGAAGCAGAAGAGGTGAGCTGGTTCTCCACGAAGGGCAAGGCTTTATGCTGCAGACAAGAGTGAACATGGGCTCTGTTTGACTGACAGATGCTGTATTGATCACTGGGAGAAAACGTCATTGGGTTGTCTCATTGCTTTGCTTTGTTTTTCTTTCTTTGAAGGTGATGACATTGGAAGCATTAATCATGATGATGAAGATGAAGATCATGTAGTTCAGTGATGCTGCTGTTGCTGCTGGTTTGGTGATAGCAGAATGATGGTGAATTTGCAGGTAATGGACAGAGAAATCAAACCATTCTCACAGGTACTGAATGGTAGGAATCAAGCTTCTATCCCACTCTTAGAAACACTCGGGGCACTTACTCATTGACAAACCTTTCTCTTCTCGATTGCCCCAGCCCCAGGTTTATTATGGCTTTCCCTTCACAGGCGGAGAGAGGAGTGCTTATCAGGATAAGGATCACACATTGAGGCCCTTCCTTGCTTAGGGTTGTGCATTCCCCAGTATTTGATTGTATCCCAGCTGTCATGCCAGCATCCTGAAGGAGGCACTGAGTCTGTGGTCAAAATGAGATCTCAAGACACGGCTTTTTATTCCCATCATGTATGGGCATCACAGGTGCCTTTGCAGCTTTGTGGCAGGAAGTGCTGGATCCTGACAAGTGCTGGTGACTGGGACATGCAATCCCAGACCTTGACAGCCTGAGTCAGGGGGATCTCCATAAGATGGAGGCCAGTCTGAGCTAGCTTGTGAGTTCCAGACCAGCCTTGGCTACCCAGTGAGAGCTGTTCTTAGGACAGAAACTGAAGAGAGGCGGTGTGTTCTTTGTTTACATGTTGTTAACATAGGGAGGGGTCAGAGGGATGTTAGAAACAGTTCTAGCCCTTGGTCTGTGCCATGGTAATATTTTAAAATGCTCTAATTCACTAGAAGAATGGGGCTTAGGTGCTGCCAAATGAATTTCTTGGCTCAGGAATGGACCAGAATCTCAGTCCCGGAAGACACCGCTTTGAGATACAGGAAGCATCTGATTTTCCTATGTGACAAATGCCATGAAGGTAGAGGGAAGATCGGGGACTGTAGATGGAAAAGCTCTTTAACCAAAGCCTAGGGAGCACGAAGTTTGAAGGGGACAAGGATGGAGAAGTAGCCACGAACCATCTCACAGGCGTGGTGATGCACAACAGAGGCAGGAGGATCTCTGTGAGTTCCCGGACAGCCTGGACTACACAGTGAGTTCAAGACAGCCAGGGCTACTTATAGAGATGCCCCTAGGATTTTGTTTGTTGTTTTTTGAAGAGAGAGGACACCAAGCACAGAGAGTCTAGGTCAGAAAGAGAGGTCTCTTTCCTTCATGCCACACTCAAGGGGATTTTTAGAAGGGCTCTGTCCATGGCCAGAATTCGGCTTGAGTTACCATTTGATCAGCTCTGGTAGGGAATGCAAATGATGAGGCTCACAGGCCACAATTTTCACTTCACCTTCTCCTCCCTCTGGTCCTCCATAGGGTTCTTCCCTGCTCCTTAGCTCACTGCCCTCGAATCCTGGGCCCATGCCACCGTTCTGGGCAGCTGGTCCCTGGACCAATCATAGCCGCGCTGGTGAGCTGGAGTTCGTGCTGCTGGGCTTTGCACACGTGCCCTCCCCTGAGGCCAATGCTTGCAGTGGTCTTCCTGGCTGTCTTCCTGCTCACGTTGCTAGGCAACACGCTCATCGTCACGCTCACCAGCCTGGACCCAGGCCTGCGTGCACCCATGTACTTCTTCCTGCGTCAGCTGGCCCTGGTGGAGATCTGCTTCTCACTGGATGTGGCGCCCCGTCTGCTGGTGACCCTGCTGCTGCCTGGACGCGGGATGTACCCCACAAGCTGTGCCCTGCAGCTCTTCTTGGTGCTGTTCTTTGTCTCAGCGGAGTCCATGCTCCTTACAGTCATGGCCTGGGATCGCTTCCTGGCCATTTGCAGGCCACTGCGCTATGGGGCCATCATGAATTTGAAGCTGTGCTGCCTTCTGGCCACCACGTGCTGGCTGGCAGGAATCCCCGTGGGTCTTGTCTTCACCATCTGGCTCTTCAACTTCCCATACTGTGGGTCACGGGGCATTCGGCACTACCTCTGTGATATACCACCTCTGCTGAGCCTCGTGTGTGCAGACACCAGAGTCTTCGAGGCCAGTATTTTCGTGATCACTGTGGTATTCATGATTGTTCCTGTCTCCCTCATACTCCTGTCCTATACCAGGATTCTGATTGCTGTCCTCCGCATGCCATCAGCCTCTGGGCGCCACAAGGCCCTGTCTACCTGTGCCTCCCACCTCATCGTGGTAATTCTGTTTTATGGCACAGTGGGGGTCATCCACTTGCGCCCCAAGGCCAGCTACTCTCCTGAGAGCAAACAAGTGGTGTCCCTGTCATACACCATGGTGACCCCTATGCTCAACCCCCTCATCTACAGCCTGCGGAACAAGGAGTTCAAGGCTGCCTTAGTTCGTGTCTTCATTCAGAGAAGAGGTACCTTTACCCCCTAACCTGTATATGACTTCATTTTCACAATTCCTTGGGGAGCATTTTTATCCTAGTGATCTTGAGGACTATACTCCACATGTAAGTGAAATCCTTTCTAAAAGATTCTATTGCTGGGATGGTCCTGCTTTTTGAGCATGGCGTCACAATTCTTGAATGGCTCCTTGAACACTGTCATATCTTTACTTGCTCCATGTATTGTGTAGGTAGCATTCTGTTTGTCCACTGACATAACAGGTGGATTTGAATTAAAGAGCATGCTGACAGCATATTTCTCATGCAAGTAGAATTGTTATCTCTATCAAGGAACAAGCAAATTTCAGAAAGAAAATAATCTCCTACAAATCAACCTTTTTAGGGTGTGTTGTGACTTGAATATGACATTTGTCCCACATGCTCATGGGACACACGTGGTGTCCCAGTGGCGCGCGCAGTTTTAGTGTTAGGAAATCCTTTAGGGGGTGGAGTCTGGCTGGAGAAAGTGAGTTACAGAGAGTGAACCTTGAAGTTTTGCAGCCGGTCCCACTTTCTGGTTACTACCTGTCTGCTGAGGCACATTTTGAGTTTGCTTCCTGACCGCTGAGGCAATGTTTCATAACCCTGCCATCGTGCTTATCTGACCACGGGATCTGAGCCCTCCAATGGTGAGCAAATCAGCCATGAAGAACACCCATTACTCTTGCAGAAGGTCAAGGTTTGATTCTGAACACCCTTCCAGGGAGCTCACTGCCTGTAATTCCAGTTCCAGGGAATCTGATGCCCTCTTCTGGCCTCCACAGGAACTGCGCACACATAGTGAACATGCATGCTCTCTTGTCCACAGATATAAAATATAAACAATGGATATTTCCAAACACCAAAACTGTGAGCCATAGTTCAGCTGTTCTTTCTTAAGTTGCTTTTTGTCAGACATTGCACATGGAGGCAAGAAATGTAACTAACACATGATATGAGGGTATCCCTTCTGATGTTGAAAATATTCAAATGGAAATTCAAAAATTTCTAATTTTATTTCTCAATAAAAATAAGACAATACCAGGCTCTGAAAGATTCACATGAGCATCAGTTATTCATTTCACATGAAGACACATCACATTAAGAGGGCAGGTGTAATGGCACACATCTTCACTCCCCATTAATAGAAGACAGAGCAAGTGGAGCTCTCCGGTTTGAGGCCAGCCTGGCCTATGTAAGCAATTGCAGGACAGATTGTCTGTAGGGAGACACTGACTTAAAATCAAAACAAAACACAAAGGATGTTAGGATTAGAAGTGGCATCACAGTGTGGGTGGTTTCGTATCTTGTCTTTGATGTGGGATTGGTAATCTAGCTGAGGACACGTGGATTTACATAATTATACTCAGCACCTGTTGGTCTCACTAGATGACTATTGCTCTTTTGGTTTTTGGTGGAATTTCTGTCTAAAATGTAATTCTTGAATCTCTCAATCTATCTCTGTCTGTCTGTCTGTCTCTGTGAACACATGGTACACATGTGAGTCTTAGGTGATAACTTGAGGGAGTCTGCTCTCTCCTTCCACCATGTGGGTCCTTGGGTTTCAAACTGAGGTCATCAGGCTTGGCGGCCAACACCTTTTTCCACTGAGTCATCTCATCTTCCCGCAAGTTTCTCTTTAAGTTAGTGTATATTAATGATAAAACAAGAGGGTCCAAAGGATGTGCATATGTAAAATTATATTCACACTGCATTATACTGTGTTTTGTCCCCTTCCTCAGCCCATGGCCCCCTTCCTTTTTTCCAAATACTTCTCCTTCCGCATTGACATAAGTAAATAAATACAAATTTAAAAACTACACTTGCAAATAAGAGAAAACGCGAACATGTGATATTTGTCTTTTTGATTATGACTGACTTTCCTTAACCCAATGATCTTGAGTTCCACCCATTTTCCTGAAAATGACATAATCTTGCTGTTTTAAACGTGATTTATGCTTGTTATGTTTAGTTATGTTTAGGTGTGTCTGCATGTGACTACACCAGTATCACAACCCCCAAGGTCATAGGCATCGGAGCTTGAACTTGGAGTTACAGTCAGTTTCTAGGAGCCTGATGTGGGTACTGGGACCTGAACTCAGGTCCTCTGGAGGAGCTACAATGTCAGGTTGTTAAACTTCATTTTAAATATTCACATTTTCACCCATAAATTTGTCAAGGAACTTGGCTTAAAGGAGATGCTTACAGTAGTCCTAATGAAGACACTCATTCCTGTTTGTAATGTTGAGAACAAGTGCCTGGGTGCTTGGCTGAAGATCGTATCAGCCCACTTACAAGGCTCACGATGTCAGGACTAAGACTGTATGCTGGCCAACCCCCTTCATCTGGCGGAACGCACTCAGCCGGTACCCTGTTCAGCCCAGGGTTCCATGATTGGGTAGTTTGTACGCAGGTGCAAAGGAGTCCTTTACATGACAGATGCCGGCCCCTTATGCTCTCTTTTTGAGCTGTTCCCCTGGGGCAGACAGGACTTTCCCTGTCTCCCTCTTCTCTTCTGTCCTCTCTCTCTGTCTCTGTGTCTCTCTGCCTCCTTTCTTCTTCCTTCTCCCTCTCTTTCGTTTCTAATAAAACTTCTCACTTAAGCTCTGTCTTGCCTGCCATGGACTCCATCAAGGTCCCCCACTCAAGGTTCCCCTTGAGAGTTATCATAACACAGAATACATGTCTAAGGGGAGGACGGAAGAATGTAAGAGCTGGAGAATGGGGAGGAGCACTGTCAAAAGCTGCCCTCTAGACATGACATACCTGTTGCACACATGTAGCTACAGCAGCTGTGACCACCCACGCAAGACCAAGCCAGTTAGACTTTCCAGAATGAGGTGCATCGGTGCTTTGCCATGGGTGTTGGGTCACCTAGAACTGGAGCTGAAATGTGGGTGCTTGAAATTGAAGCAAGGTCCTCTGGAAGAGCAGTCAGTGCCCTTAACAGCTGAGCCATCTCTCCAGTCCTTGGGAGCCCCTTTCCTTTAGTGTGTGCACTGGAAGGTTGTCTAGGCTCATTGGATGACCCCATGCCCATGAACATATGGTTAGCTATGATAGATTCAGTGGATTATAAAATAAATAGTATAAGAAAACATGAGATGGAGAAGGAGATATTGGGATCCCAGGGGGAGTTGGAAGTGGGGAATGAGTGGTGTATGTGTGTAAGACACTTTGTGTACATGCGCAAAGAATAAATAAAAATTAAAACAAAAAATCCCATCTGCATGTACACATAGACTTTCTATTCTTATATTTTTGCAAGCGATACATCATAAGCAACATTATGTAGCCTTTACATTATATTAGATATACAAGTGTCTAGGAGAATATACTTAGGCTGTCTGCTAATACTGCCCCAACTGGCAGCAGATTTCTAGAAGGTTGTGGGACTGGGAGGCAGCAGGCCCTGAGGTTTGAAGAAGGTTCAACTCCTCTTCCTGTCTGATGTTTCCTGACTACACATGTAATGTGATCAGCCACCCCATGCTCCTGGTGCCATGCCTTCATCACGGTGATGGACAGTGTCTCTTCCTTAGCTGTCAGCTGATTCTTGTCAATTATTCACTCACAAGAAGAGGGCAATGAACTAATCTGCCCTTTGAGAGCTGACTACCTCACGTCTTGCAGGTGAGCCATCCCAGTCTTCTTGGAGTAAGGCGTGTCTCAGCCTTTCCCAGCATCATATCCACCTCCCACCACTCAAACGTCTGCTGTGGGACACTCCTTCTGTATGATGTGAGTATGCTTTACTCTCGTCAGTTAATAGTAGGGCTGGTTTGGCCTATAGAAAGGCAGAGAAAGGCTAGGTAGGTAGGGAAGCCACACTGAAAAGAGATGGAGAAGGGAGGCTTGAGTCAGGAGATTGGAGTCAGCCACCAGCGAAACAGGACTTTGCTGGTAAAGACACAAGCCATGTGGGTAGTGCAGCTTAACAGACATGGGTTAATTCAATTTGTAAGAGCTAGTTAGTAAGTTCAAGCTACATACTGGGCTTTTTGTAATTAATATAAGCTTTTGTGTGATTATTTGGGACCTACCTGGTGATCAGTGGCTCTCCTTAGTAAATTTAAATTGACCTTGCATAATCTGCAGTCCTATACATATCACCCAGTACGGTGCCTAGTACTCACTTGCCACTTAATGTATGCTTGCCAAGACATGAATGACGGATGAGTGTCTGATGTAGTTTGCTCTTCTGTTGCTGTGATAAAACGTGCTGACCAAAAGGAGCTTAGGAGAGAAAATTATTTCTTTGGTGGGTCACAGTCTATCACTGAGGGAAGCCAGGGCTGGAACTCAAGGCAGGGAGGGGCCTGGAGGCAGAAACCATGGCAGGATGTTGTTTATTGGCTCCTGCTCTTTGCTTTCCTATACGACTCAGAGACATCTACCTGGGATGGGGCCATCCACACTGCTTGGCTGGGACCAGGCACATCAATCATCTATCAAGACAATTCTGCACAGTCATACCCATAGGCCAGTCTGATCTGGACAATTTTTTAAGGCGTTCCCTCTTCTTATGGGACTCTAGGTCTTGTCAATTGACAATAACAATAACAATCATGATGGCTGTGTGTGTGTGTGTGTGTGTGTGTGTGTAGTTATGGGGTGTCTTTCCAGGTTTACCTGAAGGTAGTCTGTGATCTAGAACAGTTAGACACATGGAGTTTTAGCAGTAAACTCATTTGTGTTGTTTGAATCCCTGACACTGTCTTGCTTCTACCATGCTTCTCAGCCTGTGAAACGGAAACCTTGAAGCCAATCTTCACTCTTCATTCTACTTCATGCTGCCAGCAACTGTAATTCTGCTTTAAGTGCCTAGACCTGTGCCTCCTGTGGGTGCCCCCACACAAGAGGAACTGTGCAGTGTTCATCTTTGTGACCACACATTTTGCTCACTCTGACATCAAAGTCTAGCCTTGTAATAGCACACATAAGATTTTCCTCCCTTTTAATGGCTAAATCATCACACATTGCATGAATTTATCACATTTTCTTCACCCAA